AGTATTCATTAGTAAGGAGGACCTCAAGATACATCAACGTATACATGGCAGTAAGCGCTGATGTTGCTGTGATGTGGGTAATGAATCTTTCTTTCTGAGCAGTCATCTTAAGGTGCATCAGCGTGTGCATAATGCTGAATGTCCATATGCCTGTAATGCATGTAATAATCACTCAGTTCAAGGGGGACGTGAAGAGACATCAAGGCATACACAGTGGACGGCGTCCTTATTCCTGTGATGTGTGCAGTAACTCACTGAGCACAGGTGCACAGTATACAGCGTCCATATTCATCTTATGTGTGTAATAAATCATTCATTCCGAGAGGTCATCTGAAGACACATCTCGTGGAGATGATCCACATTTGTAATGTGTGGATTCACTAAGTAGAGTGTTCCCATCATCACTGATCTTGTAATATATATTACATAGTGTCCATATATATATATATATATCCTTTGTCGGATTTATCTACAGAGACATCATTGGAGACACAGTGGAGAGCATTCCTAATCTTGTCAGATATTGTGATGTGATGCCAAATGGGCAGATGGCTCGCACTGGAGGGGTGGGGCTGCCCTACCCCTCTCCTTAACTAGCGGATGTGGGATATGGGTGTGGCCATCACGGAATGTTCCAGGATGTAGTGTTCCCTCGCCAAAAGGAAGGTTCAGGTAAGTGAACATGGGAGATCCTTGGCCTGGAAATTTCAAAGAACAGACTGCCGCACATAAAAGTCACCTCTTCGAGTGCTTATAGTCCAGCGCGGGTACACCGTGTCCCAGTAAAGTGAACAGTGGTGGATGTGGGGGAACTAGCGAGATAGTGAGAGCGAGGGTCACCTCCTCGAATGCTGGTGGTCCAGTGTGCAACAGTAACGTGAACAGTGGTGGACAGTGGACAGTGAGGGAAATAGCGAGATAGTGAGCTAGTGAGAGCGAGAAGCCATCGAGCAGTCCAGTGTGGTGCTGAGAGCAGAGGGTTGTGTTGTGAATGGTGCCAAGTTTGGGGACCGGAAGAGCTCAATAGACAGTATTCAGGGACAGAACTGAGGTTGTGTCACGTACCTGAAGAGTTAAGAGTCTTAGCAACTGTTTTGTCCAATTTTCCTGTGTGTAGACTACCGTAAATTGATTGTTAAGTAAATCATGGTTGACAGCCTGAATAGTAGACGTTGTCATCATCACAGTATTTTTCTACTATAAGATTCTGAATAAATGTCACCTCATGCATGTGTGCAGTGTGTGAGTGTATGTTCCAGGTTCGTTCATTTCTTGACTGTTAAGACATAGTAGGAACAAAAATTATATTTTGCTATTTGATTGCTTTGTTCAGTAACATAACACTAGATTTTACTTGTTTTTAAATATTTGGAATATGTAGCCATTACTGTACATAAGTTATTGTAAAACTGAAGAGATGGAACACAGTTCTTTTCTATAAAAATTATGAGAGTTAAACTGGTCTCTATAAAATTCAACTAAATAATTATCCAACTTACCCATCCAAACCTTAAAAGAAACTATGCAGATAAACATTGAGATCCACACATTCTTGAAAAGACCTGGGAACATGTAGGGATCAAAACAATGATCTCACTCTCACATCATGTTGCCCTGTTCCAGCTTTACTATTCAAAAAACTCTCTTTTAAGGTAACTTTCTATTATGTAGTCATTTGGTTTAGGGTTTATTGAACAACAGTCAATTACTCAGGCTATATAGTGTGAAGTGATATGATAATTAATTATAAATTACAAAGGAAATGGAACTAATCGGTCATAGCCTGATTGAATGTTCTATCTTGGAATTTGTTTCGATGGAGTAAGAACCTGTTTGCTTAATATTGGCAAAATGAAAAAAAAAATTCAGAGGCAGAGGAGATTGGGATAAAATGTAGATAAATCCAGGTGATTGTACCTCATAGAAACAATGATAAAACTGGCATTGATCATAAACTGACAGAAGACAGTCACTACCTGAATGGCAGTTCATTGATTTCACCGTTAAGATGCGATTACAACGGTATGGAACGATGTTTATATTCCATAGATCCTTCACAGTACAAGCCAAGGATGTGTAAAACATCTTAATATGAATACCAACACTAAGTACAAATATGACTGCATATTTGAAAATAATGCAAAAAAAGTACACCTTGCTCATCTTTCATCCAGATCAGCGTGTATGAAGGTAAAATTGAATTAGAAATAGAATAGATATACAGTGTCTAGAAAGTTCGTTGGGGGATTTGAAAATTTGTGGCGCCCAAAAAAATTGATTTAGCTATATCGGTTTGCGGCAGAATAGAATGAAACTGAAAGTTTCTTTTGCCGCCAACAGATGGCATAAGCGGCCATCTTTACTTTTCTCCGTAAGTTTGTGAAATGGCGACTGTGCAGGAACGCGCTCTTTGTGTGGGGTGGCTTTTTGAGACAAAATTAGCCACCCAGACTCAACGAAATTACCGCACACAGTTCAGTAAGCAATCTCCGAGTGACAATGCAATGAGAGACTTGCAACGGCGTTTCCTAGAAACTGGTAGCGTCCATGATCGCAAAAGAAGTGCAGACCAGGTCTAAGCGATGAATGTGTGGAAAGAATCCGTGAATCGTTTGCACGAAGCTCTTCAAAATCCACACGGCGAGCTTCGCGTGAATTACTCCCACGTTCAACGGTGCACAAAGTGCTACATAAGAGGTTGAGGTTATGTGCATGCAAGGTTCAGTTACTGCAACGGTTGAAACCTGATGATGGCACAGTACGTCAACATTTCGCAGAAGAAATGCTCGACCGCATTGACCTTGATGTGGACTTCTTGAAAAAATCATGTTCACCGACGAGGCAACATTTCATGTCTCGGGTAAAGTTCACAGGCATAATGTGCTCATATGGGGCACCGAAAACCAACAAATGCCTACTATTACACTATCTGGAACACCTTTAATTATCTGCATGGCAGTGCATGGATTATACCACAAGTTTTCACAAAAAGAATCCGTCAATTACCCACATAATTGTAGCAAGCACAGACTGCATGAAACTCCCTGTGAACGTTACCACAGTTAACCAGATGGGAAACACTAAACTCGTTTGTGGGCTACGTAGCGCCGTGCGTATTGTGCTGCACCCTACGAGCAATTCGCAAGCAAACACAACCGTGACGTAACGGTAATCCAGTCGGTAATATTAATTACTCTTAATCCTTCAAAATTACTACTCGTCCAACACAAAGACTCTTCATATATGTAGGATTTGAGGTTCTCACGGCGGTGAGTCTGAAGATGCTGTCTTTTGGGTTTGCTGCGAAATGTAGTCTGGTAGAAGTTTACCGACGTTTCGGATGTCCTTTCTACCTCCATAATCAGGGCGTCTCAGGCCAGGATAACTTCTACGAGACGGCACGGCTCAACAACTCAGAAGATAGTTATCTTCAAAGTAATAAAAGTTTTAGTAGTAGTAGTAGTAGTAGTAGTTGATGGTGGTTGTGTAAGCCGAATAGCTGTGGTAGTAGTAGTTCTTGTGTATCGTGCCAAGATGTCTCTTCGTATGCTGTTAACTTGCACTTCATGAGTTGCCACCCACTGATCGATACTATGTCCTGAGTTGTGAGTCTACGACACTATCACTGTGTGAAATAAGCAAGGGAAACTGAAATATGCACGTTGTGCTCATTTTATCAAATATTTATGCATTGAAATAATAGTCAGCATAATAAAGGGATATGTAAGCTATCGAGTTAGAGGTAACATGAATATATTTAATGAACATTGTTGGTCACTGGTGACTTTCTGTAGCATATTCAGTTTTGTGCATTGTGCATAATGTTGTTTACAATCGAAATAAGATAAAGTGGTGGTTCTCTGCAAGAAGTAGGAAAACATTTTGAAATAGGTCTCGAATATCCGTTTCTTTTAGGTAAGGACTTGATGTTTTGTGACATTTATTAGAAGCAATGAAACAGTGCCGCTATTTTATGTAGATAATAAATATTCACAACTACTGTACCCCAAAACGCCGGGAATTCTGAAATTGGTATGTTAGCATTGAATAAACAGGGTCACTCTTCAATTTAGTCACAGCTAGCCCAATATGCTGTCGTGCTGCACCACAGTAAAGAATCTAAAACCTGTTCGGTAAATTATTTGTGCGAGTATGGGACATCATCTGCCCTTCCAAATATTGGCTTGAATAAACATATTCTAGGCTCGTTAGGTTTTCCTTCCCATGCTTTATGGGTAGAAATAGTGATGTGAATAATCATCTGTTCTGTGGTGTAACAATTTCATGTATTTAAAAAGTTCTATGTGTTTGTAATTTAATATATGCAAGATATTCAAGTTCTAGCTTCTTCTCATAGAATCAGAATGTAACTCTTGAGTTACAGTAAATATGTAACTGGACAGTCTGTGTAGCAGAGTTGTGAATTCTGTTAATGTTTGTACTTTCAGGAAGTATGAGAACAAGGTGAATGTGTTCATGACATCCTGAGGACTTTGTTGGTAACTGTGAACTTTTATGACAGAACATTAGATTTTCAGAACTATATTAACTCCTAACTGAAGTGCAAAAATTCTGAAAGACAATGGGGGGCTGGAAGCTTGAAGTTGTCAAGATGGGTCTTTACATAACCTTCCCAGTGGTGTTGTTCCATTATTTCAATCAGCCGGAGTATTTTGAGCAGTGGGTTACAAAGACTAGAAGAGCCGTGTTTCCACCAGATAATAAAACACACCGGGAAGAAATTGAAGAGTGTATAAAAAATATCCGGGAGAAAAAAGAATTGGAAATGTTAAAACTTTTACAGGAACAAGATGGTGGCTCAGTGTGATATACCTTAATTGGTGTCAATTACTCAGGAAAGTTGTTGTGTTATCAGATTGTAGCTATGCTTAGTTCATACTTTGAATAAAAAGGGTAACTGCTTTAGTTTTATTTATTTAATTTCGTTTCAGATACCCATTAAACATGAATGACAAAGGGATTAGTTCTCATTATCTGATTGAATGTATACAGTACAATTTCTACCCCATCTACTTCTCCGTGTTTTAGTCGACAGGAATGGTTAGTGTTATTCAGAAAAATTGTTAATTGTGTCAGGTCAACCTGCTGTACCCCTATTATACCATCTGCCCAAAACTTAGGACATTACTCTGGGATGACAAAATTGCACTCATGTTATTTTATTATACTTTGGTTTTTACAGTGACAAAAATTTTTAGATGCTTGGTTTATACATAAATGTGTACTTTAGCCATAGTTCTAATAGTTACTATGTTTTTGATACTGTGGTATATTTGTTATAGTTTCAGACTAACATATCACAATGAGTATCAAATTTATAACAGATACATGTTATGTTATAAAATGTATTACTACTCAGACTTAATAATGAATTCATTGCTAGTATTTTTGTTGAACCTTACAATGGATTAAAAGACCAAATTTCCTCACAGTAAATAAATCAAGGAGGATGAGATGGGTGGGGCAGTTACTGTCTAACGTAATTGGAGTGCTGCTCTTTGTCCTGAACAATATTGACACTAAGGTGGAATGACAGTAATTTGATTTCCATATTTTGGGTATGTTTTAATTTGTTAGTGTATAAAAGTGTCTATGTTGGTTAGGTTAGGTTCTAAAGCTTTTGGTGCTTGCAGAAGTTTCCTTTCCACACACTAGACTTCATGCTGAGAACCAAAATTTATATAATTTTACAGTTATTTTTAAATTCTTCTTTTCATGATCCTGCTAATACTTTGTTTTTGCTGGATATATTATTTTCACATTTTCTTATAACAACAAATCTGACCATTCTTAGGGGGCACTACTTGTAATAATTCTTTTCCTCAATAGAAATTGTTTCCAACAAATGTCACTACACTCATCACAACTTGCATTAGAAATTATTGACACAGAACCTTGCGTACACAGATGTAGATGTTTCCTGTTCGTGGCAGACTCTGTCAACAAACGGAGCCCATATGAATTTATTTGCAAGAGTGGAGTGAGGTACCTTTATTACCATAGTTGTAACTCCACCATCAACAGTAATTAACATTGTCACTAATTTCTGCTTCCATGTTTCAATTGTAAGTTTATCATTATTCTTTAATTAATTACTAAGATATGCTCAATTACAGATAATAAATAATCTAGTATTAATAGTTCTTTGATTTTTAATTTGTGTGTTTAATTTTATATGGTCATTCTATTTTAAACCTTACATTAAATTTGGAAGACGTTCATGGCACACCAGTTTGAAAACCACTGGTTTATGGTGTGTAAAAGATTAAGATCTTGATGTTAAAAGAAAAGGCAAAATTGTGGAATATGTATATATGCTTAATAACTTTTGTAATAGCATCATTTTACATACTATTCAGTTTTAGAGGAAAATTTGCCTAAATTGCATTCCCTAAAAAATATTTTTTTAAAGAGCAGGTTAAATATATAATTTAAAATTTTGACTTCTAATATTGCATGATGAGATTTCTTGAATTGCCCTTGTATTGTTGATGGTGGTAAAATTAGATTCTGTAAGGTATGAACCTGGTATATATCCCTCCGTCAGGGAACTTGATAAACTTTTGCATGCTTTTTATAAACTTTTATTGTGTATCTTTCTGTTGTCTCTAGTTGGCAAAACCTGACCTCAGGTGTTTATACTTACGTTACTGTTCCGACCCAGACTGTCCAGAGATTGAGAATAGCTCTCTCTGTCGGACCCTACACGTTAGGTGTCCCTGCCCCATGCACCTGAAGATGAAAACAGATCCAGTTTTCGAAATGTTGTATACATTTTAACCTTGGATGATGGACAAAGCCCAAAGTCCCAGCAAGTCCGAGTGGTAAAATTGGCGAGAAAAAATGTAGGAGGCAATAATACAAAAGTGTAGGTATTTTAGTGAAACTTCCAAACCTTAGACAAATAGAAAAACATCTTGGAATGAATAAGAATCATTATTCTTGCAGTATTCTGCATGACACTGTTCACAGTGTTGACAGCACAACATATCTGCAACAACTATTTCTTGACATAACATAAAATCCATTCTTCATGATCCACTTTAATGACGACTTTACTTCCAAGTTCCTTTATGGCAGGTGTGTTTTTTCCTTGCAAGCTTCTGGTGATACTTGTGTTGGCTATTAGTGAGAGGAAGAAGTTTTTGAACACCATTCTTTTTCTGCTTTTTATAATGCACTTAGGATTTTAGAAGGGGCGATGTTTATCAGCTGGGACTTGTTACTTTACTTATGGAGAGTTTTCTTTTAGATATTTTACATCAGTAATATTTGAACCAAACTTTCCTCATGTAACTGCCTGGGTTTTGTGTCATAATTTACACTGCTGACACCAAGTAACAACCTAATTCCCTTCGTAAGGTGCTGTAGGAGGTTTATTACCTAAGTAGGTTTTATCTGTTGATTGAGAAGCTGCTTGTATAATGTACTTTCACAACTGCATATTCCAAGGACTTGTCTATACAGTCGGTGGAAACAAAATTGTACAGCCCAGTAAAGAGAATGTGAGTCATTTTGATTGATCTTCTTTTATATACAATATATTGATAGGATTGCCCGTGGGAGTAGAATTTTATAGTAGCTCCTTCAATATAATAAATATCCATATTCGAAACAAAACAAAAATTTAAAAATACCATAATTTAAAAACTGGATGGTAAGTAGGTAACAGATGACAAGACTCAGCAAACAAAATAATTAGTACTTTTAATTCACTGGGAGCCGGCATAGCTCAGTCAGTATAGTGACTGGCTACGGACTGGACGACTGGGGTTCGATCCCCGATGGGGTCAGAGGATTTTTCCTCTAACCTAACCTATCCAATGGGTGCCAAGGTCAAGAATGAGTAGGAACTATACCTCCTCTACCCGTGCAAGTGCCAAGGTCATGGCGTGTAGTGGGACAGCTTTACTTTACTTTTTACTTTTTACTTTTAATTCACTTCAGTCTGTGTGAGCTTATTCAGCTGTATCTGTCGAACTGTTGGAAGCCACTTCATGTGTATGTAGCCATCACTCTAGGTTTGTTGTGTAGTGTTCAGTGAAAATCATTTTACGATCATGAAATGGAAAACATTCAGCAAAAGTGCTGACGAAAAGTCTTTATTTATTTAATACAATGTATTGTAATGGATGTGGAAGGAAGCAGTTATGGCCTAATTCAGGGTAATATTTTAGGATTTGTCTGGAGAGACAGAGAAATCACAAAAAATGTTTAGTCAGGATAGCTGGTCTCTGGGCCGAGTTTTGAAGTAGCATGAGTAGGAAGCAGCAGTGTTAACCACTCGATCATGCCATGATGGTTGGTTGAAAACCCACATTTTGGTTGTTCTTGTGATGTGTCACCCTAAAAGATATTTGGACATGCGTACTGCTGTTGATGAAGAAAACAGTGAGAAAGTGAAGGAGGAGTAAATAACAGATACACATAACTTCTCTGTTGTCAGAGATGATGCCCTGGATGAGGTTGTGAACATTATCAGCATGACAGCAGACAAGGAAATGCAGTCTTACTACCAGCATTTGCAAGAAACAGTATAAATGTATCCAGCTAGAAATGGATGTGTTCCTGAACACTGCATCGGCTTCAGAATCAACATCCCTTGGAAGAACTGGGTCACCACCACAGCAGATATATCAGAGTGATTCATAGTGAATGGTTCTGTACAAATCTGTTGTTATTCTATTACTGCATGAGCCGGATTAGCTCAGTCAGTATAGTGACTGAGCTACAGACTGGATGACAGGGGTTTGATCCCAAACCACAGGGGGCAGAAGATTTTTCCTCAAGGCTCTGCCTCCAGACCAGCTCGTGGGCCTACTGAACCTCCTATCTAATGAGTACCGGGATCCTTTCCTGAGGGTAAAGCGCGGCCGGGGCGTGTCACTGACCACTCACCCCTATCTAGTGCAGGAGCTATATTTCCCCTCCTCCCAAGTGCCTACATGGCATATGGTGGGGTAGCTTTACTTTACTGTTTACTCTGCTACTGTTATTGTAGTATTATAACTCTATTTCACTGCAAAATAAAGTGTAATGCAGTGCACACATATAAGCAGGTTTTTATAACTTCCGTTTGTTATTTATGTGTCAACGTGTTTTTTACCTCAGTCTTATGGGCTATCATTTAATACAGACAAACCTTTCTCCCATATAGTCTGTAGAACAGAGGTATTACTTTATAATTTGTTGTCATTATTATTATTGTTTGTTGGTGAAAATTTAAAACTAACCCAAACTAGTAAGCTATTGTTTTTACTGTCGTCTTATAGAAGACACCAAACTACATTTCTGTCCTCTGTGAGAAATCAGAAATGAAAAGTTTGGCTTACTATGGCTGTTTCCTTTGGAAGTTAAAGGATATAGGACAACTTACTCTGTTCTTAATCCTCTTGTGTTTTTGAACTGTTCTTACATGAATCATTTGTTAAATAAATATTTAAGTGTATGTATAGATGTGTCGCCAAATTCCCAAGCACAGAATCATTCCGTGTGAAATCAATACAGCATAATCCGACCTCCAAGAAACTGAATGATTTTGCGTGAGATTGTATTTCAAATGGAGATGAGTATTCCTGCCAAATTTTACTGCCTTATGGCTACTAGATTTTTGAAAATAGACATCCGAATTTGTCAAAAGCTAGTTTTTTGGGCACATGTATTCTTTGAAAAAGTGGCATAGTTGCTGCCCTAATTGAAATACAAAGATTATTTTGTGCTTATTTCAAAACTAATAAAATGTCCTTTCCCCTGACCAGTTAACAAGTATATTTGGCATAGATAAGCTTTCAAGTCTTCAAATTTGAATTTTGACCTTGTATTCTTGAAATGCGTGATTATTTTTCTAAATATTTTTTGTTCATGTTAGTATGATTAAACATTTGCGAACATCAAGTTTGGACTGCAATGAGACTGGGTTTTGTGAAACAACTTATTGTGAAGATTCAGTTAATGCAAATTCAAGCAACATGTTTCCTTTTTGTATTTATTAATTTTGGTTAATGTAAACATCATTTTATTATAAAAGTAATTTTTTATAAAACAATGTGGTAAAGGATTTTAATTTGTAACAAGCAATACATATGCTGAGACAAAATTCAATTAGCTGAATATGTTGGGCAGGTCGTGGCATGTTTGGCTTTCATCATTCAGTATTTATTTGGCTGATGGGTACGAGTCATGCAGCGTCTGCATCATTGGCAGGTCTGAGCAGGCTTCGTATGAAATAGGCTTTCTGAACTGAAAGCTCTACAGCTCAGTTTTCTTTGCTCATTCACATGTTCTAAATGTTCTTTTCTGCTTCTGTGTAAGAGATATTTACTTATGTTGTACATTTTGTTGATTAAATGTGTTTACAACAATTGTTGCATTGGAAGCCTGTAAAATATCCAAACTAACAAAAAGGAGTGAGCATCACCTTTCTATGTGCCAACACTCTCTCAACTATGATTTGCAATTTACATCAGACAAACTGCAATTTGTTTTTCTGTGACTGCAGTGAAGGTCCAGGACCTACTGATTCAAAAAACATATTAGATTTATTCACTTATAATTGAAAACATCACCATCGAACAGTGGATTTCAGCAGACGTGTGAGTTAGTAACCATTGTAAAGTCAACTAAAGAATTAATTGAATCACTGCTGGAAAAACTGTTACTTCTGTCATTCATTCACTGCGACACAACAAACTCTGTTCCTCATAGAACTGGAATGTAATCTACAATCAGGTAAACTGGTGGTTTTGTGTGACATGGTTGAAAATTATTCTTTCAGTTTGCAAGATAAAGCAAAAGGCTTTCACATGTTGCTTGAAGCTGCCACATCAACACGAGTGAAGTGACTCTTCACAGTAATTAAACTGTTTCACAAACCCTAATGTCGTAATTCCAACATTATATTTACAGATGTATTAAATAACTGTTACACATACAAATATATTTTTTCAAAGAAAGTACCATAGTTTGAATAATACAAGGTCAAAGTTCAAATTTAAGTACCTTGAAAATAAAACTGTACTGAATATATTGGTGATATAGGTCAAGGGAAGGGCATTTTATTACCTTTGAAATTCGTATAAAATTAGGTCTGTATTTCAATTAGGGCGAAAATTATGCCACTTTTTCTAAGACACCATGTGTGTGAAAAAAATAGATGTCTGCTCTCAAAAATGTAGTGGCCATAAAGCAGTCAAATTTGGCAGGAATATTTATCTCCATTGGGATTAGGGTCTCACAAAAAAATCATTCTGTTTGGAAAAGTCTCTTTTCTGTGTTGATTTGATGTGGAATACAGAAACCGGTAGACAAATTTTCATGGCTCTGTATAATTGCATTCTACCAGTTTACTTTTAAGAAGATGACTGTCTACTAGGATATTGCACCATGCAGTCTTGTAGAAACTGACTGATGATGCAGATCTGCTAACTGCGTTTGTCGTCAGGGTGATGGTGACGGAAGCTACACGGTGCAACATCCCAGAAGACTGTCTTGTTCTTAATTGCTGCTGTGAGAACCTGAAACCTTACCAAATTTACTTTTCTTTACAGATGAGAATGGAGTATCAGATAAGTAAATAATGGATTAACTGAATACAGGATACACAAAAGGACAACCACCAACCACAACATAACAATGCAGTTTCAAACCGTCCAATGGGAAGATCACTTTAGTCACTTAGTGACAACATTAAAGGACTTCACATTATTAAATATATTGACTGACACCACCCTGGTCACAGGGAATCTTAAAGTGCCAGTGCATCGAGTGATACTGTCATGTTACAGTCCCTACGTAAAGCAGTTTCTGACAAATGAAATCTTAAGTTGCTACCTAGTGATCAGTGACATTGGAGAATCACTTTTGCAAGTTCTTATTAGTTACATCTATACAGGTGTAACTTCAGTTCCTGTACCCAGTTTGAAGGACTGGTACAAAATGACAGAGTTGCTGAGATTAGACGGCGTGTTAGATGCTGGAAGAAACCGTTGTTCTGAAGATGCGACGTATTTTACCTTGCCTCAGCACCGAGAAATTGTGCTGCAATATCTTTGGCAGTCTAGGTCTGATCCAACAGAATGTGATGTTATTTTAGTGACAAACAGTTTTTCTCAAACTTTTGCACATGCTTGCATTTTGGGTGCCTGCAGCAGATATTTACTCAACATTTTCCACAGGCATAATGAAAAGAATAAGAAGAAACCATACGTGTTGATTCTTCAGAATGTCAAGAATGAAGATCTAGAGGCTGTTCTTGAATTCTGCTATAGAGGAAGTGTTTCTGTGTTTGAAGAAAATATTAGTTCTGTTTATGACACTGCTGAACTATTAGGCATTCAAGATCTTTGCAGAAAACTGATTTCTATAGATCCTATGATTGAAAAAGTGTCTGAAATACATGGATCCAGCCACTCCTCAGATGTTATCAGTAGGATAAGGTCTTCCCACTGTTTATCTCAGTGGAATGAGCGTACTGTCCAGCTCCAAAACATTTTTAAACACTTTCTTGAATATGAAAACTTTTTTGATATAACATTACTCAAAGACAAACAAAGCTTCACAGCTCACATTGCTGTGCTAAGTGCCTTTAGTACTTACTTCAAAAACCTTGCTAGGTTTCTTCAAGATAACATCAAAGATGCTTTCGTACTCATCAAAGACTTGCGATCTCAGCAAGTACGAGATTTCCTAGATTATGTGTACAAAGGGGAGGTAGAGTTTGCAGGGACCACAGAGGTTTTCTGTGAGGTCATGTCAGATTGGATTGATTTCAGCTTGTTATCAATTTCAGAATCAGAAACATGCCAAATTTTAGCTAATGCAACACCGAGGATGAAAGAGAAGACAGAATTAAGCAAATCAGTGGAAGAAAACATTTATAATTCTGATGATATTCTGTATCCAAATATGAAACCACAAGAAGAAACTCTACAGAGAAATGAAAATACCCAGCAGCAAACCTGCAATGGAAGTGTACATGAAAATACACAGCAGCAAACCTGCAATGGAAGTGTACAAAACTGTGGAAACTTTGAGAGCCCTCGTGACTTTGATATTTCTTCTGCAACTACAGAAAAGTTGAAAGAGGTGATAAGTTAAATAAACTGTTATTTCAAGACTAACACAAATATTTCTGCCCTAGAGTTATAAATGATGTTGGAATGTTCCTTATAAATTGTGAAATTGAACTGTTTCAGAATATCAATAGTAATGACCTTGAGAAACAGTGTACTTAACCCAATTTACACATAAGTATGACTTCAAGTATTAGAAACAGCTACACATCTTATTTATAATCAGTTCTTTACAATATTTTGAGCCATGTTAACACAGTACCATATTGAAACTGAATTTTGAGTAAGTTTCATTTTATTTATGCATTTAAAATAGAAAATGTAATCTGTCATTTGGTAAGCGTGTTGTTTAAAATAATTACAGGAGCCGCTTGAAAAGCTTATTCATGAGCAGAAACCAATGAAAATATGTGCAGAACAATGGAAGAGCCTGAAAAGTGATGGAGAAATTAGTGTCGAGGTAAATAATTGTAACAACAACAACCATTTAAACACACACAGAAGTAAAAATAAGGTAGTCCACCTTTATAAAATTACTTTGTTGATTCAGAAATATGGCACATAAAACATTTAAATGGAGCTGACAAGACAAAAGACACAACAGAGGTGGAATCCTGTACTGAGTGACTATTTTAATGTACCCACGTGAAGCCCAATATAATATTTTACTGTATGTAGTGAAGTGCGATTTTGTGAATGACCTGTATTTACTGTAAGAAATTTTCAAACTTCCAGAACTTGTTACCTTGATTTTGTGTAATTTTGAGTCAAAACAGTTGATACTTATGCATTCTGTACTTAATGTGTGGTACTAAATTCCATCACGATTGTTTAATTAATAAGTTGTTTTTTTAGATTCCTTTTTAATTGAGGCTATGAAAGGGAGGAACCTGTATTATAAAATTAGTTTACTCAATTATAAGAGCAACTAAACCGCGTTTATTTATTTATTCTAGGATGATATGGCAGAGACAGGAAGTCTGCCAGAGGGAGATCATGATACAGCAGCGAACAGACCTCATAAGAGATGGAGAGAAAGGAATTCTGTTCTAATTTGTTATACATGTAATGGAAATTTTGAATCATGGAAGGAACTGAGAGAACATTTAGTCATTCACCCGAATGGGAGAGTTATGAAATGTAATTACTGCGGGAAGGGATTTGACAGACCAAGTCAGATGAAGCTTCATGTTCGCATACATACAGGTTCTAAACCATTTTCATGCAAACAGTGTGGCCACGCTTTCGCAGCAAAGAGCGCGCTTCGGAAACATGCCGATGTTCATGCCGGAGACAAAGGCAAGCTTTTTGAGTGTGCTGTGTGCAATAAGTCATTTTCAAGAAAAGAATATCTGGGGGAACATATCAGGACACACACTGGCAACAAGCCATTTGAATGTCCAATATGTCATAAGACTTTCGTTGGCCGCACTGGTCTGAATCATCACAGGAAAACGCACGCAGACACTGGTGAGAAGAAAGATTCCATGTGCGAAGTCTGTGGGAAGAGCTTCACACGCCACGCTCTTTGGACACATGTGAAGTCACATGAGAAAACACACTGCTGCCATCATTGCAACAAATGCTTCTCTACTGCATCTGCGTTACGAGTTCATGTCACAGGCACGCACCTTGGCTGCAGGAGCTACCAGTGTGAAATATGTGGGAAAGGTTTCATACAAAAGAACCACCTTATCCGTCACATGAAGGTAGGTCAGTAATACATCTATTTAGGGAAATTAAGGGCTTCATAGTATCAAGTTTTTTGAAGCCAACAAAGTAACTCGTGAAACGGTCCTTTTCGACAGACTGATAGTCACTGAAATGGTCAAGAAATTATCCACCTTTCATGGAATCCAGAGGTTCATTGACATGTTTACCAAAGCCCCTCCCCTTCGGACCTTGTTCAAGGAACGTGTCTGAGGCCCTGCGTAATATTTTGTGATATGTTAGTATTATAGGTTAGAGATTTCTAACTCTGCCCAATCCTGCTGTCTGCTTCAAAGTTCTGTAGCTAGTCTCCATACTTGGAAGCCATCAAAGAGGTATTTTTTTTATGGATATAGGAATTTTTTATTTGTTGGTAGGTTGTTTACATTCCCCTGATTTGTATAGAACGGGTTCTGTGTGTGATTCACACTTGGTACCTTCTAAAGTTGTGCAAGTATACATATGTGTTGTCTGTGCGCATAAATGCTGATGAAGGTCTTGTTATGGACAGACTCTTTTTAAGGTATATATTTTACTCTACTGATGTTTGTCAAGTTAGAAAACCCGGGGAATGATTTTAGAGAATCTTAAAAGTTAACTCAGGTTATGTCAGTAAGCCGAATTTGATTACAAAATTGGAGCAGCGATTTCATGACAGTGAAGATGTCCATGTCATTTGTATGGGTTTTAGTGCCATGTAGACTGAAAAGGTAGGTATGAAGGTGATTCAGAAAATATCCAAACTTTCGTTACTGTCTGCATAAGGTACGGCAGAGCCCTGTAAAATGACGTTTTGATACACTGCCCAACATAACTTTGGATGCAGTGAGTAAGCTGTAGTGGAACAGAGACATGTTGCAAAATGAAATGAGGTCAGCCACTCACACAAAATCATGAGGAAAGTTAGTGGAAGGCGTTCTCTTATTGCACGACAATACTCGATCTCATACCGATGCTTATACTAGAGAAACCGTTCAGTAGCTGACATTTGAAGTTCTCCACCAACCACCATACAGTCCAGACCTTGCACCTTCAGATTTCCATCTACTTGGACCCCTCAAGGAGGCTCTCAGATGTCGTATATTTCCAGACAATGACAAGGAGAAGGAAGCATTGCATGACTGGCGGTATACTCACCCCAGACATTTATTTTCTCTCTGATGGCATGAGAAATCTTGTGGACAAAGTGCATTGAGAAGTAGCCTATGTAGACAAGTGATACAACAAAAAACCTTCTATAAAGAGTGAAAAAAGTGCAGATATTTTCTGAGTCATCCGTGTAAATACTGACATTTTAGAGGAGCATATTGCCTCCATTTTTAGCCTGGAAGATTAGATTATTTTGTAAAGAAGGGTTTCAGAATATTGTTTGCCTGATGGTCTAACATAATGAACCCAAAACACTGGTATATTGTATATTCATAATATACCATAAAAGTAAGTAAGTAAAGCTGCCCCACTATACACCATGTAGGCACTTGGGAGAGGAAGTGGTATAGCTCCTATTCTTAACCTCGGCACTAGATGGGTGAGTAGTCAGCTTCACGCCCCAGCTGTGCTTTACCCCCTGGGAAAGGACCCCTGGTACCCAACAGACAGGATGCTGGCTGGGCCTCAGAGCCGGTCTGGATGCAGAGTCTAGAGGAAAAATCCTCTGCCCCTCTCGGGAATCGAACCCCGGTCCAATCCGTAGTTAGTCACTGTACTGACTGAGTACACTTAACCCAGATTTTTCCACTTACAATAGAGGGTGATGAATGCGATGAATATTCTTCTGTGTTCTTATATATTATCACATAGCCACTCAGATTAAACTGGAGGTCTTGTGTCAAATATTCTATTGTGATGGAGTGCACAACTTAGAAATGTCCAGCTTCTTGACAGGATACTGTTAGTTGGTAAAGAATTAAGTTCTAAGTTAATTCTATAAAAATTTGCCATTTAATAAGTACAACTAACTAACTAGATGGCTTACCAAACCCGAAGGTTCATCACCGAATTAACCAAAGCCCTCCACCGGACCCTGTCCTGGGCCAACAAAATCCAGTCTCCTTCAACTCCTATCTCCCACAGATCCCGTCTGAGATTATCCTCCCATCTACGTCTAGGTCTCCCCAGCGGCCTCTTCCCTTCAGGTTTCCCAACCAGTACCCGGTGCACACCTCTTGTCCCATCCATGCGCGCTACATGTCCCACCAATCTCATTCTTCTCGACTTAATCACCCTGACAATGCTGGGGGAGGTGTACAAATTTTTAAGTTCATTATAATTCAGTGTTCTCCACGCCCCATCATCTTCTCTCCTAGGCCCAAATATCCTCCTCAACACCCTATTCTCAAACACCTGCAATCTACGCTCCTCCCTTAGAGTGAGAGACCATGTTTCACATTTAATGAGTCAAATTTTTCTTTATTTCACTTGTTCACCACGTTGTTGTTCTGGGTTGTGATACTATATAGATTTATGTGTAAGTAAACACCAAAATATCAGAGAAACATACAATCTCCACCCTCAAAATGGAGACAATATGTTTCTCCTATGTCTATGAGCCTGCAGGGTATCACAACTCAGAAGATCATCATCTCTGCTGTAAGAACCTCAAGTTTTACCCACATAATTTTTGTTTTCCTATCAACATGATAAAAGCACTCCTTGAAGTCATGAACAAGGCTGCTTTCCAGAAATGGTATAACTTCTTTTTCTCATTTATATGAATTGTTTGTATAGGTACACAACAGTTTGAAAGATGCACAGAATACAATGCTGTTTGTATGTGTAAAGTGTCCACAGACATTTAAAACAAAAAATAAACTTGAATCTCACACACGGCTGGAACATAATGGACCGGGAGAACGCCCTTACTCTTGTGAAATCTGCAACAAATGCTTTGCAGGCCGCAGCACTGTTATTTATCATCGCCGTGCGCACACGGGTGAACGTCCACACTGCTGTTCAATCTGTGGAAAGAAATTTATGCGTCCAGATGCTCTGCGCCAACATATCACATCTCATACTGGTGAGCATCGATATCAGTGTTCCATTTGCAGCAGGAAGTTTGCGACTCGAAGCACATTGAATAAGCATGTGCAGTCTCATAAGGAGGCTTCAGGAAAAGAAACGACTTCAAACTGTGATGTTTGTCATAAAGACGTCCGGTCTGAAACACAGCTTTCATCTCATTCTCAAGTACATTATAGTTGTAGACCTCTACAGTGTCGCGTCTGCCACAAGTCTTTCCGCTATGAGGACAGTCTTACAAGACACCTTAGTATTCATAATACTGCACATGATAATAATACTGAAAGTGAGTTATCATGTATGTATTCATTTCAAGTTTCTGGACAGGCATTTGAACTGGACAGCCACACCAAGGAAACTGAAGACCACGGCTATACAAGTGGAAACCTCGTCCACAACACTGACAAAGGTACGGTGCCAGAATCTCTCCAGCAATATAGCATTTCTCCTGAAGCTGTCAATGACACCATCTGTATAAGAGATGTGAACAAAGGCAGTCTATGTGTTCATTCACGGCGTCCCTACAGCATAACAATCGATGGAAACTTGTGTTGCAATACTGATGCTCAAAGCACAAATGTTTTACATGAAGTCGGGAACATTGATTCGTCCGCAGAAATGCCACCCCCACCAACCTCTTTCCATCCTTTGTCGCATCCGCAACATTCATCAGACATGGTAAGTTTGAGATCTTCCCAGATCCGTAATCAAGAAACTGATTCTCATATTGAAATGGCTGGTAATCCAGCTGCACCATACACTGATACAGTGTCTAAATCATTTCTTTTTATAGATGACTGCATTCAGATTTCACAGGAAAACAATAAGCAGAAAATTATTGAAGATACTAGTAGGGTGTACAAAATGGCAGAAACTTGATGAAATAATTACATGTACTGCCCTGTGTTGGCTTTGCCTGTGTTCTCGTACATCAGCAAGTTTATGCTGTACACATTTATCTTATACTGTACTGAATCTACTCAAAATATGGACTTTATGCAAAATAAGTGAAATAAACGGCTTTATAATGAAGAGAAAGGGTAATGTTTATGAGATTTAGAACAAGCCTGGTCAAAGTCAATATATTTTCGTCACAAATTGCAAGTTTAGCACTAATCTATCAATATACAAATCAAATTGTTCATAAAATGCTGACTATTTTTTTTTTATTCATGCCCAGTTCCTCTACTTTATTCCTAACCTAAAATGAGGTCATTATGTCACCAAGTTTTGATACAGCTATTCTATTGTCATTCAGTAAGAATAAGATCAAAATCATGTGGTAGAAGTACTGTACATTTTCAACTTTAAATGATCTGTTGGGTTGCTGTTGGTTATGGTAAAACTCTTTTTGATTTCATAAGCATCTCATGAGACTCGCAAACAGTTGAGTTTTAACCCTCAACGAGGTGCGTTCTTTATTCTTGATATGTAGTGTACACTGTGTGCAAGACCGTGTAAAACATGGTGAAAGGAAATGAATTGTTTAGAACCAATTTTATTTTGAGATTAAAAAAACTATATAGTTTTTACAAAAATTAAAATTATAGAAAGTAGTTACAAATGTAGTAGGATGTATGTATTTTGTTTAAATTCATTATATGTCAATGTTCATTGCATGTTGTTATCATATGAACTTGATTACTGAAAAATGTTTTCAGTATTTTGTAGTTTTATAAACAGAAAATTAAAATTTTACATTTGTGTTTTCTCTTCAACATCCTTTATTTGATATAATTCCTGTGGAACTGAGTATTTGGTAAGAAAAATGTCTGTGTGTGTTGTCATTGTACTGGTCTGTATTTGTACTTGAAGGTGTTTTCATTAGGTTCAATGCTATAATTTAGAAAAAAAGGATTTTATATTTCTTAGCATTTATTCCAGCAATCCTGAGTAAAGTCAATGACAAGTCTCTGAATCACCATCTAGTTCATCTTGACACCTAATATCAACTGCTCATAATAATTTTGGATTTGTAGATATTACTACAGATATGTTTTCATTAGACGCATGTGAAACCAGTGTTACACATCCTTTTGAAACCAAATAATGTAATTCTTATTTTCCTTGTTTTGTCAGTTGACAAACATCGGTGTATTTCCCATGACAAGCGGTCCATCAGACTGGAACCCACAGCGTATGGTGATAGTGTTCTAGTGCTCATAAGTGCTTATATTTTCAGTCCATATTTGCATAATTATTTCTAAGCTGAAAAACTAAACAGTATTATGCATGCATAATTAAAGGTTAATCCCATTAGATCTTTAAATTTAAAAAAAAGCTTGTAAAAGATGCTCTGAAATCATATGGAAAGATTGTGTCTTATGATGAGAGGATTATATCTTATCAGGAGAGAAGCTTGTACATGAGGACCTAAGCGTCTGGAACATATGTTTTAGCTGATTCAAAAGAGAAATGATCAGAATAGCTCGCGGAGAGCAGTAGTAGTAGTAGTAATAGACACGTACAAGGCAGACATCTAGTCTGTTTGTCGTGCACCTAACCTAACTTTCTGTACCACCTACAGAGAATAGGTGCTTACGAAATCCTTGATATCAGGTGTTGCATTTCAGGCCAATCAAACACTGGTTAAAAAATCCTTGTCCAAAGGAATTATTAAAATCCCTGATAATACAACCATCTCCGCGCCACCTACAGAGAAAAGCTGAAGTACGATCCTCTGTGGAAGATCAGAGAAGTATGCACTTAAATTCTCGATACTTCGAAGTGTAAAACCATTGATGACCTCTACAACACGAAATACCAATACCAAAGCCAACATCACTGTCCCGTGTGTGTGTGTGTGTGTGTGGGAAAAAAAATAACCTAAACACCAAGCAGAGCTTGTGTCCTCTTGTGGCGCCAGGAGCGCTAGAGTCTGCATTTCTGTGTGTTGGACTCTGTACCAGCACAAACGACCTTCAAATGATGGAGTGCGTTGTAGGGAGTGAACCTGTTTGTATGTGTGTGCGAGTACACAAGCAACAAAGAATTCTGCAGCTGTTTGTGTGACGGAATGGAAAATTATACATGTTGCTTAATTTTTTTAAGCGTAAATGCGTGTAATATTCCTTTCAATTGCAAATTATCTTGAACGATTCGAAGCTGTAAAGCAAACCCTTCGGTACAGCGTGTAATTTATTTTATTGGTGTATGACTATTTTAATAAAGACGTATCGCTGTATAGAAACACATACACACTAGCGTTAAGTGTGGGAATTAAATCGGGCAAGGATTTGAACTTCGTGTCAATGATTACTTAATTCATAGTTGCTGTGTGATATTTAAGAAACTTCTATAATTATCCTACCAATTACTGCCAACATTTGAATGTCGTGCTATCAATGAGGGATGCTAGGATATTTTTCTGATTCTATTTGTCGATTTATAACTAAAGTCTATCTGCTGTATCAAACTTCAGATTTATTTGGTTCGATAAAAATTATCTGATCAAATATTATTACATCCTGTTAACATGTTTGAACCTTGTTGTGCAATGTTATTCCGTGACATTCTATATCTTTATCGTCATCTGTGCAGGGTCCAAGACAAACAACTGAAGTGCTACTAGGCGACACTTTTTCGCAGCTATCAGTCAACTTCTACTGTATTTTGCTTTGTTTAATGAGGCCTTAACGCACCGAGGACATTCACAAGGATTCCTGAAGACCCAGTTTTCTTATTTGAGAGTAAAATAACATAGTATTCAAGTAGAGAATCTGTAGTTATCGCCTATGCCACACCGAAAGGAAATGTACATGACAATAGTATTTATCTACGCACATTCAACTAGAAATGTCGTGTGATTATCAATATTTTATCGATACCTTATCAATGCCTTATCTTCACTTACACATATCAGTCGTCTTTTTTCCCCAGCTGATCACGTCAGTATCCATTTTGGAATTGTTCACAAGCACCACGTTTATTTTCTCTGTGTTAAACTGCTGTTGTTTCAACTGAGTTTGCATTTATGTGTGCGGGTAAGTCGAATTTCAAGTTTAATGTGCTTAATTACGTGATATGTTTTCGTATTAAAAGTTAAAATAAATTCACGAGTAGAATAATCAAAACCAACTGTTTATTATGACAATTTGTTGTAAAATAACATAAATACTATAAATAACAAAGGAGTTCTCCTAGAGGCGAATAAATAAGCTAGTATTGAAGTAAATTTAAATAAAACTAAATTTACGAGAGTAACAAGTTTGGTATTTCGCAATTAAAAGAAGTTTGGCGTCTGTGGGTGTGATAAGAAGCTATCAGTAGAATTACAGGTGAAGGAAATTTCTATTCGTAGAATTATAATGAGAAATACAGCCAATTAACGTTCCACAAATGCCAAAATATTTGCCTTCCTACATCGAAACGTTTGTGTTGGCACCAACAGATCACTTACAAAACTGGAAAGGTGTGCTCTGTTGTACACAATGACATTCTAAAGGAGTTTCTGACTCTCGGATAATTCACGCGAAAATGCGATCCCAGGTAATTGTTGCTTAACAGTTTGTTATAACAATTGAATAAGATGAGGTGGTCTAGCGGTTAGAACGCTGGCCTTGTAATCCTGTGGTCTCGGGTTCGATTCCCGGTGGTGCTCAGATTTATAACTTGTGTTGGGCAAGGCCGTGGTCTAGGCAACACGGAGTTTTCCTCCGTGGCATCCCAACAATTACTCCATTCACACACAGAAGAAGGCAATGGCAAAACACTTCTGGATCATCTGCCAAGAACGTATATGAACAGGTCCCAGTCCGAGAAAAGGATGGAAGGATCCTGTTCATATGGACCTGTCGTCAGACAGAACACTAAATAAATAAATAATAACTAACAATTGAAACCCGCGACAGCACGAAGAATAATATTACAAGAACTGACTTACCGTCAGCACTTCTGACTTCTATTTAATCTTTGGCGTGCACAAATCTTCCGACGACACACACTGCTTAATGTTATCTTCTTAAAGGTGTACAAGAACTGCATTTAACATTACAGACAACCCTCCATCTGTTACTAGTCTTTTCAGATACTGAGACAATTACCGTCTCAAGTTGTAGAGTTGTGAATAATTGTTTAGAGTGCTTAATAATTCACCTCTTTCAACAGAATATGCTTTCTTTTTCACGATGACAACATAACAATTTAATTCATTACATCGAACAGTTTAGGCGTTGCCAACAACGGCACAAATAGTTCGTATGATCACCGTAAGGTCTATATGGCAGCACGGGCGATCACGTGATCGCAAATTGGATTAACCCCTCATGACACAACGTTCGTATCGAAGGAAACTGATATCGTATCAGCCGTTCTCGAGGTCTTATATGCGTGCTACAAGCATGATCATCAATATCTATCTGTATCTTTCGCTCCAACTAGTGATCGGATTTCGAAGGTCGACCTAGATGATAATGTGAGTTCCGGATTCATGTAATCTGAAATTTAACATTCTCAGTTTCACACTGAAAGGCTGCAAGCAAGTTACAGGCTCGTACAATACATAAAACGCAAGACAAAGTGAGACAATCTTTATCTGAAGTATCTTTAGACAATTTCAGTATTTATCAAACCAATTATTTCTGTCTCTGATATCTATAGTCTGACTAGCTTTAAATAAAGGCTTTGCGTAAGATTTGAGGTTTTCACGGCGACGAGTATGAAGATTTCTGTCTTCTGGGTTGTTGCGCTGTGTAGTCTGGTCGATGTTTACCAACGTTTCAGCGGTCATACTGCCTCCATCATCAGGGCGGTGAGTATGAAGATTTCTGTCTTCTGGGTTGTTGCGCTGTGTAGTCTG